GCGTGGGAATGTTTCGGGAATGCTCGTCCTCTCTCCGTTCGAGCGTGTTTTCTAGGTTAATGGATTGAATATTTGGTCAATTTCCTCTTCCCCTGGAAGACTCTCGATGAAGTTTGCCCTGCTTTCCGACGATCTTTCTTTGTTACCACCTGGGATACGAGGGTTTTCGATGGTTATATTTGGCGGATACTTTTCGAGTGTTTCTTTTCTTTTTTTTTCTTTTTTTTTTTTAGGGTACGAGTGCCTTCGATGGGTTTCGTTCTGGCCAGTGCTCGAACGTACATTTAATGATTACGATGGAACTCCACGATGGATTGAGGTTTTAAATTAGTTGGCAAAATCGCGAGATCAAATTCGAAGGATTCTTCGAGTGAAGTCAACGGTAGCTACTGTATAACCAGAATTAAAACAGTCATAGGATAACGATTACTTTCTTTAAATCGAAGCAAAGAAAGAGAATCTTTCTCGCTGCTAATAACCACCGTCGACGAGAGAAAGTTATCTCGATTATTTTCGTTACTTAATTCTCCGTGATTTCGATTTGCTGATAATAATTACCGACGAGGGGAATCCATTTCAGTGTCTCTTTCTTCGTCAGAAACTAACGGTCTACGGTTTTTAAAATGTTGTTTCAACGACCAAAATGGAATAATAAAATAGAATTCCCTCGCTAATAATGATTATCGGCAAAGAAAAACAAAAAAAAAGAAACATTTTTAGTCAACTATAACGAAAACATTCAGCTTCTTAATCACTTAGTTTCCTAAAAAATTGTCGTTGCATTCTGAGAGACGAATATTCTCAAACAAATTTCCATTACTGATCTCTTTGACGAGCGATGATTCCGTAGAAATCTGTCGCAACTGTTCACTTTTGGCTATGTTTCACGATGGTAACTTGAAAGTAACGTTTAATTAATAGTTGCGATAACACGTAATTAATAATGAAGTAACGTGTAAGTCAACAGTCAATAAATCAGTCAAACCTATTCAAATTTTAATACTCAACTTACGTGACGTCAAACTTGTTTTGTACCTCACCGTGCCAGTTATACGAGACATTTCGAAACGAATTCCTTTGACAGGACATTTGGTGAAATTCGCGAGCGAATCGGTTTGACGAAGTCGGAAGCAACAGAGGAGGCCCTCCAAGTGTCGCCTCCGGTTTTCCCTCGATTTAGTCGTTTCTCCGCGCCACTTGACCCGCTGCCTTTATCAAGAATACTTGATCTCGGCGTTTAATCCGCGCCGCGAGC